AAAACACTTTACAGCATTTAGTAAACTTACCACCTATTCCATTACTTGCAACATCTGCCACATTGTTCCCCAATCCACTCTATCATATGCCTTTTCTAAATCCATAAATGCAAAAAAACTTCCCTACCTTTATCTAAATACTATTCACATATATAGTTCCTGTAACACTTGATCTACACTCCCCTACCCACTCTAAAACCTCCTTGCTCATCCGCAAATCCTACATTCTGTTTTACTCTAATTCTTTCAATTATAACCCTACCGTACACTTTTCCTATATACTCAGTAAACTTATTCCCTATAATTTTTACAATCTCTTTTGTCCCCCTTCCCCTTTTAAAATTTTGGGGCAACAGCCCTCTCCAAAACCCTAGCCCCCCCTTCCGGTCCATTTAAAAACAAAAAAAAAAATAAATTTTCCTCTTTAAAATTTCTTTCAGAACCCCAAGCCCACCAAATTTTATTTAAGAAAAACTTCCAAATTATCGTCTTCTTCCCTAAAAGTTACCTCCCGGCATGTTTACCCCCCCCTTTTTCTACTTTAGCCCAAATTTCTGTCCAAAATTTTCCCCCCTTACTACCCCCACCAAAAAAATTTCAATTTTCCCCGTTTTTAGAAACCGTCCATTTTTTTCTTTTTTCAAAATGGTGCAAAAAAACCACCCCATTTTTTATTCAATATCCAGAAACATGGTAAATTTAAAGAAAATTTTCCTTTCAAAACCAAATTTTTTCCAAAAATCCCCTTTTCCCCGGGGTCCAATAAACCCAAAAGACATTCCGCATTTTAAATATCAATTTCCCCCCTATCATAGACACCGCTAAACCCCCTCTTATTAATTCCCTTTTGCCTTTTCCCCCACTTTTTGATTTTTTTTTCCCCACAAAAAATAAAAACCCAGGGGGGGGGGGGGGGGGGGGGGGGGGGGGGGGGGGGGGGGGGGGGGGGGGGGGGGGGGGGGGGGGGGTTTTTTTTTTTTTTTTTTTTTTTTTTTTTTTTTTTTTTTTTTTTTTTTTTTTTTTTTTTTTTTTTTTTTTTTTTTTTTTTTTTTTTTTTTTTTTTTTTTTTTTTTTTTTTTTTTTTTTTTTTTTTTTTTTTTTTTTTTTTTTTTTTTTTTTTTTTTTTTTTTTTTTTTTTTTTTTTTTTTTTTTTTTTTTTTTTTTTTTTTTTAATGAAAAAAAATTTTTTTTTTTTTCAAAATACTCAGTAAACTTATTCCTCTATAATTTTTACAATCTTTTTTGCCCCCCTTTCCCTTTAAATAAAGGGACTATACATGCTCTCTGCCAATCCCTAGGTACCTTCCCCTCTTTCATACATTTATTAAACAAAAATACGTACCAACAATCCAACACTATATCCCCCCCTGCTTTTAACATTTCTGTCATGATCCCGTCAGTTCCAGTTGCTTTACCCCCTTTCATTCTAAGTAATGCCTCACACATCTCCCCAACACTCATATCCTGTTCTTCTTCACTCCTAAAAGATGGTATACCTCCCTGGCCAGTGCATAAAATTACCTCCTCCCTTTCTTCGTCGACATTTAAAAGTTCCTCAAAATATTCTCGTCATCTACCCAATACCTCCATCTCCCCATCTACTAACTCCCCTACTCTGTTTTTAACTGACAAATTCATTCGTTCCCTAGGCTTTCTTAACTTGTTTAACTCGCTCCAAATTTTTTTCTTATTTTCATTAAAATTTCTTGACAGTGCCTCTCCCAATCTATCATCTGCTCTCCTTTTGCACTCTCACCACTCTCTTCACCTTTCTTTTACTCTCCATATACTCTACTCTTCTTGTAACACTTCTGCTTTGTAAAAACCTCTCATAAGCAAACTTTTTCTCTTTTATCACAGCCTTTACTTCATCATTCCACCAATCACTCTTCTTTCCTCCTGCACCCACCCTCCTATAACCACAAACTTCTGCCCCACATTCTAATACTGCATTTTTTAAACTATTCCAACCCTCTTCAACCCCCCCACTACTCATACTTGCACCAGCTCACCTTTCTGCCAATAGTTGCTTATATCTCACCCGAACTTCCTCCTCCCTTAGTTTATACACTTTCACCTCCCTCTTACTTGCTGTTGCCATTTTCCTCTTTTCCCATCTAGGAAAATGACAACAACAAGAGGGAGGTGAAAGTGTATAAACTAAGGGAGGAGGAAGTTCAGGTGAAATATAAGCAACTATTGGCAGAAAGGTGGGCTCGTGCAAGTATGAGTAGTGGGGGGGTTGAAGAGGATTGTTAGGAAGTATTTCTTCAGTCACAGAGTAGTCAGGAAGTGGAATAGCCTAGCAAGTGAGGTAGTGGAGGCACGAATCATACATAGCTTTAAGATGAGGTATGATAAAGCTCATGGAGCAGGGAGAGACAGGACCTAGTAGCACTCGGTGAAGAGGTGGGGCCAGATGCTCAGTCTCGATCCCTGCAACCACAATTAGGTGAGAACATCACCCACCTTTTTTTCTCTCATCTATTCTATAGTTTACCTTATCTTTCACAGACCCATCTGCTGACATGTCCACTCCCAATAAAAAATCACCCATTTTTTCCATACCCACCCTCCCACTCAAATATTCAACTTTTTTGCTTGTTTTTTTTTGTTACCCCATCACCTTGCTTTTTTCTGACATTTTTAAATTTTCGTTTTTTTTTTTCTCAAAAATTCATCCCCCAAATTATGCAATTTTTTTCAAATTTCCTCAAAGGAACTGTGCTCTGTAAAAGCAACTGTGACAGCTCTGTTTGTATCAGATTAAATAAAAAACAAAGGGAAAACCACTGCAGAAGGCCACTGGCCCATCGAGGCAGGCCCAAGTCCCCACCGGGCTTAAGCCAGCACCCCCCCTAGTCAGGTCGGGGTCACATGACAAAGGGAGGAACACAGAAACCCCCTGGTAGCACAAGCATCAGTCTAACTCACACCCCCCACACCACTCATGTTTTACCAACCAAAATTTTTTAAACTCACAACGTTCTGGCCCTCTAAAGGGTACGGTACCATGGAAAACCCTGCATTCCTTCTAGCCTACTTTTATGGAAATTTGTCCTTTCCATCCACACACCACAACTTCAGCTTAACTGCTTTTAGTAACCCATCCTTTTTCCCATACTTTCAACATCGTCACATGGCCCCCCTTATCCCCCAAATTATAGCCTTTCCTAAACCATAAATGCAACAAGCAAGTCTTTTCTTTTATCTAAGTACTGGTAACTTATGCTTCAATATAAACACCTGATTTACACATCCCTATCCTTCCAAAATTCTTGCTCCTCTGCAACCCTACTTTCCATCTTACCCCTAACCCTTTCAATAATAATTCTACTTTACTGTAAACTTTATCTCGTATACTCAACAAGATTATCCCCTTTTCCTTTATATAAGGGAACTGTACACACTCAATATTCTGGTACCTTCCCCTTTTTTTTATAAACCTTTGTTTTAAACCTTGAAGTTTTAGAGCTTGCTATCTCGGCCCACCCAAGGCCGGTTACTGGTTTCCCTAGTAAACCGGGCTGTTGCTGCGGGAGGTCCCCCACAATTATTAAGCCTAGCTGATCTGGCACCTAAAAAATTTTGTCTTTTCCTTTTGAATTTCACACTTGTTCCAGCCGTGTTTTGTATCTTTGGTAAGATTTGAATGCTGGGACCCCAAATTTTGATACAGTTTTCTTTTTTTGTCCCCACTGCATTTTGCTCCTCACGGGGTTTTTTTTTGCACTTCCCCCACCCGGGAAAACTCCTATTTCTCCTCCCTTTCCCATTTACACTCTTTTTAGTCATTTTATCCCCTCCACCCTTTCAAACCCCCAGACCCCCCCAAAAACCCTCATTGCCCAACATTGCCTATTAATTTTTTCCCCCAAAATTTAATGGAGATAGTCATCCACATAAGCCTTCAAACATGACATCCCCACTGCCTCTACCCTTTTTTATGGTGTATTCAAAACCCATCCCTAAACCCCCTAACCGGGTCTTCCCCCTTTTTTCCCTTTTTTTGTTCTATACGAACAAAATACCAAAAAATTCAACCTATCCTCCCCGGTGTAACATCTCTTTTCCCCTCTTTCTATTACTTTACCCTTTTCATTCTACCTACTACTTCATGCACTTTCCCCAATCCACCCCGGTCCCTTTTTTTTCCTATACGATGTTATCCCCTTTCCCGCCCATGCATGAAAAAATCTGCCCCCCCTTAAAAACAACTTTTTAAAAATCATTTCCATCTTTTCCGTACCCACTCTTTTCCCATCCAACACCTTTTTTTTATTTTAAATGCCGTTAATTTTTCTCTCCAGGCTTCCAGCCTTACAATCCTTTCTCAAACTTTTATTCTCAAAAAATTTTGCTGATAAAGACCCCCCCTCTTCCCCCCCTTTCCCTTTTAATACTCTGCCTTTCCCCTTTCATTTTTAAATTGAAAAAATTACTCTTGCTAATTTTTTTCTCCCTTTTCAACTTTTTGAAAAAAGAAACCTATGAAAGAAATAACATATCAGGGTAATAACCCGTATTCCCCTTTTTTGTAGCATCTTTAAAAATCACTGTGTTCTCAGCCACTATGTACTGAATATTAGAGATTTTATCTCGTGTACATGGTGTTACGTATTTACTGTAAAATTTTTACAGAAGAGAAGGTAAATGATTCTTTAAACTTTTGGTGAATACACTTCATGCTCAAAAATAAATGATAATTAAATTGCTGTACTTTAAAGTTTATTAACACTGGTAAGATATTTTTGTTTAATAAAAAAATTTCCCAAATCAAAAATCCCCGGTCCCCTTTTGCTTTTGGATTTAGTGATGTAGTAAAAAAATTTGGCTTTGAAGATTTAGTAGTTTTTCCCCGTGAAAAAACTTGAATAAAAAAAATAGGGAAGGAAGGGAGAAAAAAGGGGTGTTTATAATTACTGTAGTCCCAAATCTTTTTGTGGGCAAAATTAGAAGTTATTTAAAAAAAGTACATATTTTAGAGTTTGGAAACAAACCTTTCTACGTCTATTGCGTTGATCTGAGCGAGAGAGCTCTTTTGAAGCTGGAGGGTATAAATCAGGATCTTCTAAAATACGTCGTTTGGCAACTGTTAATTTAGTGGCAAAATGAACCATCTCTAAACAGAGCCCTTGTGCAGTAGTAACAGGGCCCATGCTTGTTAGGCCACAGCGTAAGAGGTCTTCCATACGTAACAGAGTTAGCTCATGTCTTTGATGAGCCTCAACTAATGGAAGAAATGGGTCTGTACTGACTTCATCATCATCAGGAAGGCCAGCTCCTACTGACTTGACATGGTTTACAGGCTGTTAATTAAATGGAAAGTAAGACCAATTAGAAAAGGGAAATCATCCATCATTACACTGAAGATTCATATTTTAACACAAATTAATTTAGAAATATGTACTGTCTTGCATATTACAATGGGTTACCAAAAATAACAAGCATCTATGCTGGAAATCCCATACAAATGAACAAATCTGGCATAATTAAATAAAGGAACACAGTGGAACCTCTACTTGCGAGTTTAATCCGTTCCATGACCTTGCTCGCAACTGGATTTGCTCGTTTGCAGAGTCAATTTTCCTCATTTAAATTAACTGAAATGCAATTAATCCGTTCCAGTGGAATTCTGTGCTTCAATAATTTCGCTAATATCAATACGGCTTATTTATCTACCTCACTTCATCTAATATAACATAATAAACAATATAAATAACATAGAAACCTGATATATATACTATAAAATGAATAAAATATGTAATTCATGTAGTGGTATGGGTGGTGTTGATGGTGGACAAGAGTGTCTGGAGACCGGACAAAATACTTCTTGAATAATTTTGCTAATATCATCTATATGGCTTATTTATCTATCACAGTTCATCTAATATGACATAATAAACAATATAAATAACATAGAAACCTGATATATATACTCTAGAATGAATAAAATGTCATTATATATGTGGCAGCGGCGGCAGCCGACAAGTTTGTCTGGAGACAAGACAAAATATTTCTTGAATATTTCGCTATCATCAACTCTATGGCTTATTTATCTATCACAGTTCATCTAATATGACATAACAAACAATGTAAATAACATAGAAACCTGATATATACTCTAGAATGAATAAAATATGTCATTATATATGTGGCGGCGGCCAACGAGAGTTTGTCTGGAGACAAGACAAAATACCCCTTGAATATTTCGCTATCATCAACTCTATGGCTTATTTATCTATCACAGTTCATCTAATATGACATAACAAACAATGTAAATAACATAGAAACCTGATATATACTCTAGAATGAATAAAATATGTCATTATATATGTGGCGGCGGCCAACGAGAGTTTGTCTGGAGACAAGACAAAATACCCCTTGAATATTTCGCTATCATCAACTCTATGGCTTATTTATCTATCACAGTTCATCTAATATGAAATAATAGACAATATAAATAACACAGAAACCTGATATACAGTGGACCCCCGCCTTACGATATTAATCCGTTCCTGAGAGCTCATTGTAAGCCAAAATTATCGTTAGCCGAATTAATTTTCCCCATAAGAAATAATGGAAATCAAATTAATCCATTCCTGACACCCCAAAGTATGAAAAAAAAAAATTTACCACATGAAATATTAATTTTAATACACACAAACTGAAGAAGACATGCACAATTACTACTCTACTAAGAATAGAATACATGACACTTACCTTTATTGAAGATCTGGTGATAATTGATGGGATGGGAGGAGGGGAGAGTGTGGAAGTTGTTATTGTTTAGAAGGGGAATCCCCTTCCATTAGGACTTGAGGTAGCAAGTCCTTTTCCGGGGTTACTTCCCTTCCTTTTTTAATGCCACTAGGACCAGCTTTAGAGTCACTGGACCTCTGTCGCACAACAAGTCTGTCCATAGAGCTCTGTACCTCCCGTTCCTTTAAGACTTTCCTAAAATGGGCCATGACATTGTCATTGTACAGGTTGCCAACACAGCTTGCAGTAGCTGTGTCAGGGTGGTTTTCATCCATAAAGGTATGCAGTTCAACCCACTCTGCACACATTTCCTTAATCTTTGAAGTAGGCAACTTCCTCAATTTCTCTCTCCCCTCCTCTGAAGCAGTTTCCTCAGGTCTGGCCTCTTGCTGTTAAGATGATCTTGCAGCTCATCAGTGGTTAGTTCTTCATTGTCCTCCTCCACCAACTCTTCCACATCCTTCCCACTAACCTCCAACCCCAAGGACTTCCCCAATGCCACAATGGATTCCACAACTGGCATACGCTTCTCAGGGTTAGCCCCAAACCCTTCAAAATCCCTTTCTTCTACACATTGTTTACCTGGAGTTTACCTGGAGAGAGTTTCGGGGGTCAATGCCCCCGCGGCCCGGTCTGTGACCAGGCCTCAGTTTCTTCCAAGCAGAGTTCAAGGTCCTCTTAGTCACTCCCTCCCAAGCCTTACCTATAAGGTTGACACAACTGAGGATACTAAAGTGATCTTTCCAAAACTCTCTTGGAGTCAATCGAGTGTTTGAGGTCACTTCAAAGCACTTTTGAAACATAGCTTTTGTGTAGAGTTTTTTGAAGTTTGAAATGACCTGCAGGAGAGGAGTGGTATTAGGAGGTAAAAACTTGACCTTAATGAAGCTCATGTCCCCAGAAAGTTGCTCTGCCAAGTCTGAAGGATGACCAGGAGCATTGTCTAATACCAGGAGGCACTTAAGGTCCAATTTCTTTTCCATTAGGTAATTTTTCACAGTGGGGGCAAATGCATGGTGTAACCAGTCATAGAAAAAGTCCCTAGTGACCCATGCCTTACTGTTTGCCCTCCACAGCACACACAAATTAGCCTTGAGGACATTGTTTTGCCTGAATGCTCAGGGAGTTTCAGAGTGATACACCAATAAAGGCTTCACTTTGCAATCACCACTAGCATTAGCACACATCAAAAGAGTAAGCCTGTCTTTCATAGGCTTATGTCTTGGGAGTGCCTTTTCCTCCTGAGTAATGTAGGTCCTGCTTGGCATTTTCTTCCAAAAGAGGCCTGTTTTGTCACAATTAAACACTTGTTCAGGTTTCAATTCTTCACTGTCTATGTACTCCTTGAATTCCTTCACATATTTTTCAGCCGCTTTGTGGTCCGAACTAGCAGCCTCACCATGCCTTATCACACTATGTATGCCACTACGATTCTTAAATCTCTCAAACCAACCTTTGCTGGCCTTAAATCCACTCACATCACCACTAGTTGCAGGTATTTTTGTAATTAAATCGTCATGCAACTTCCTAGCATTTTCACACAAGATCGCTTGAGAGATGGTATCTCCTGCTATCTGTTTTTCATTTATCCACACCAATAACAGTCTCTCAACATCTTCTATCACTTGCAATCTCTGTTTTGAAAACAAACTTGCACCTTTTGCAAGAACAGCTTCCTTGATTGCTGTTTTGTTGGTCAAGATAGTAGCGATGGTTGATTGAGGTTTGGTATACAACCTGGCCAGCTCTGAGACACGCACACCACTTTCGTACTTAGCAATTATTTCTTTCTTCATTTCCATAGTAATTTTCACCCTTTTTACCACAGGGTTGGCAGTAGAAGCTTTCTTGGGGCCCATGGTGACTTATTTTGCAGTTACAATCACTAAAAACACTGATAATATGAAATGTACCGAATGTATGCTTAGATGCGACTGCACTGGCTGGCTTGTAAACACTAGCATCCGCGGGGCAGCTGAGGCCACATGTGGGACACGTCCCTGACGAATCATGTAAGGTGAGGTTTTTATCGTGAGGCGAGGCAAAATTTTTGCGTTCAAATGCTTGGTATGGCGGATTTAACGTAACACGAAGCGTTCGTAAGGCGGAGGTCCACTGTATACTCTAGAATGAATAAAATATGCCATTATGTAACAGGTGGAGGTGGCAACAACCGCTCCCTCTATGTTGTGGTAAACACTGCCATCTAGTGACAGCCTTTTAAAGCCATCTATTATTATAATTATTATTATCTAGTACATTATTATTATACATGTAAATGTATTATCATTATACGTATTATATGATTATTATTGTATTATATTATTATACGTACTATTATTATACATATTATTATTATTATTACAATATAAATAATTTGTAATTTTTATTCACACAAAAAATATAAGATTTACTGTAATGCCTTATTGCAATAATTGTATAAATAATGTCAACCCATTCACGACTGCATACTGGAATGAACAGTGACGTCATTTATTTACTCTTGAACATAGCCAAAACAATGGAACATTTCTCCTGTGTTGAGCTCAATTTCAAGGTACTTTCGTCGTGAAAGCAATCAAAATCATATCTATTTCTGTAGTACATGTATATCATCCATTCTATCAAATGAGGCCAAAAAAAATGAGAGTACAACCATAAAAACCATACGAAAATACCGCTAAGGGGTAGCTGATTGCTGAGAAGTGAACTCCATTATTTATGCTTAGATTTTTTCATTTTTGGTGTACATTAAGAAGCATCTTTCCGTCATACATTGCCGAAGTTTCAGTAAGATAGTCCAACAAACAAATGAGACACAATTCCTTAGATCAAGAGCAAGAGCCCTTTACCAGCGTCAAGGAACCTGCCTTGAGGTCAGCTCGTTTATGGAAATTTTGCTCGCGTTTGGAAACAAAAAATAGACCCATCGACTGCTCGTATTTGAAAAAACTCGCATGTGGATGCGCTCGCAAGTAGAGATTCCATTGTATTCTCAAAAAAAGTGGAAAAGAAAATAGGTGATTAGTAGTCAACAGCACTAAGTACTTTTTTCGCAACTGGATGCCATGTGTGTACTGACTCTCACTTATATGCTTTGACAAGAGATTTATGAGGTGCTATGAAAAAGTTCCCAGACTCAAATTTTCAGGAGCTTCCTGGGAGAAATGTGATGGTGACGTAGATCATGCTGAGCAGTACACTCCTTTGTGATGAATGGTTTTGAAAACCGACAAGTTGAAGAATTGAGACACTTGTGCAACATATGGGAATCTTTATTGAAGAAACGTTTTGCCACACAGTGGCTTCATCAGTCCAATACAAAATAGAAGATTCCCATATGTTGCATAAATGTCTCAATTCTTCAACTTGTCGGTTTTCAAAACCATTCGTTGCATCTGTCAGACACTGCAACATCGTGGGATCTTGGTACAAAGACTTCTTCAACACTTGTCCAACCTTTGGATGACGACCTACTTACACAAGTGGAAGGTCCCACTGTGATCCTACCTCCTCCTGCTTTGACTAACCTGACCGCAGTATATAA